AAAGCGCCCTAACAGGCGGGTTAAAATAACTGCAATTAACAGGCGGGATTCAGCTTTGCTGCTTCAGGGCATTTAGTTAAGCAGAAAGCAGCATGTTATACCACCAATAGCCAATCACACAGATACAGAGAAATAGGATGTGCTGCAACTACACACAGCAAAGCCCTATCTGACTGTATATGTGTCCTTTACAGCCAGCAGAGCCCTTCAGAGTAAGACCCTCAGTCACACCTCCACCTCGGAGATTCATCAGCTGGTCTGAGTCCAGCTCAGTGGATGTCAGTCTAGCTGATGTTCCAGTTACAGTATCTCTGATCATCAGTCTATGTGCTTCAGAGAGAGAAAGACCACAGCTGGGAGGCATATCAACGCAAATACATGCGCATTTGCACCATTACAACAATCGATTGCCGCACATATCACTTTTAAAGGTGCATGTGTACTTGTGTACCAGTTATGTCAACCCCTGCCTATAGAGACATTTGGAATAAGAGTGACTCAGCTGTAAGAATATCAGCTACATCTCTCTCCCATCATCACTGAGTTTTGTGGTGGATATAGAAGATCTTACCATCACTCATGTTGGAACGTGATCCAATGCTGTTTGACCTGGTCCTCCGACCTGCATGTATTACAAACAAATGGGAGAAAAACAATGAGTTGCAATTTTGGGCATATTTCTCAGTTTGGCTCAGTTTCTGACTGACAGTGACATAGATTAGCTGTGACTCCAGCTCAGCTTCTCGCTATTCTCATTACTGAGCTGTGTGGACGGTATAGAACATCTAAGCCCTCATCATGAACTGTCAGGACCTGTGTCAGTGCTACATCTCCAACCTTAAATTTCTTTGCCTATGCATGTGTCATTACGCATGATGAAAACAGTCTGTTTACTATAATCTCAGTGCACCAGTCTCAGTCTACAAGGAGGACTACTGTTCTGTGATCCAGTCACACTGAGTTCTCTAATACAAAGATATAGTGGCCTTGATAAATTACGGCATTTCTGTTTGTTTCTGTATTACAGAACATATCACTGCAGAATGAAACATGGGAACGCCTTCATAAACCAACCTGAATGTCATGCCCACACGGGTGGGACCAAGCACCTGCAGACAACTGTCAGCTAATTGCTCCACAGAGGCTCAGTGCGAAGTATTGTTGGCATTATTTCTAATGTGCCTTACCAAGCGATTCTCTGTCTTTTGTTCTCCCCGATTGCCCTACCTGCTATGTCCTGCCCTGCTGTTCTACCTGCCCTGCCTGTCACGCCTGCTCCATCTACCTGCCTTCTCTTGCCTACCTTACTAAGCAATTCACTGTCTTTTGTTCTCCC